GAGTTCCTGCCAAGTGGCCCCAGGCAGTGGCTGACTTTGCACCTCCTTGGAGGCCCCAGTGCACCCAGCAGATAGCTTCAGACCATAGCAGATTACAACTCTAAACATCCACAAGCAACACACTCAAGGGGCAGATTCAATGAGCACCAATGCCCCCCTGAAGCAAGTCCTGCTCCATACTGGTAGACACAGCAATTCTTCCACTGCAGTCAAAGCTGGTCCTCACAGTCAATTGGCCTGGAGGTCAATTCCTCCCAGTGACACCAACAGCAATCAAAGCTCAACTACAACAAGACTATGCACACAGCCCACACAGGGGTGCACCTAGAGTGCCCAGCTCAGGTGACTGGGGAGTCTGAGGCACTGGGTCCTACAGGATACCTACTACACAAGGCCACTCTACCAATTCCAGGAGACATAACAGCTCTACCTAATACATAGAAACAAACACAGGGAAGCAGTCAAAATGTGGAGACAAAGAAACATGTCACAAATGAAAGAAATGGAAGCAAGCAAACTATTGGTTACAGAGTTCAAAACAATGGTTATAGTGTTACTCAAGGATCTGAATGAGAGCTTCAAGGGACTTAGTAACTTTCAAGGATCTTATTGAGAATGTCAAAGACATAAAAAGGACCAGTCAGAAATTAAGCATACACTAACTGAAAAAAAGAAAAATTTACAGGGATTCAACAGTAAAGTAGAGGATTCTGAGAATCAAATAAACAATTTGGAATATGAGGAAGCAAAAAACACCCAATCAGAAGAGCAAAAGGAAAAAAGAATCCAAAAATATGAGATAGTGTAAGGAGCCTCTGGGACAACTTCAAGTGTACCAACACTCTCATTATGGGGGTGCCAGACGAAGACAGAGAGCAAGATATTGAAAATCTATTTAAAAAAATAATGACAGAAAACTTCCCCTGCCTGGTGAAAGAAATAGACTTACAAGTCCAAGAAGCACAGAGAATCACAAACAAGAGGGACCCAACGAGGAACACACCAAGACACAACATAATTAAAATGCCAAAGAGAGAATCTTAAAAGCAGCAAGAGAGAAGCAGTTAGTTACCTACAAGAGAGTGCCCACATGACTTGAGCTGACTTCTCAACAGAAACTTTGCAAGCCAGAAGGGAGTGGCAAGAAATACTCAAAATGATGAATAGCAAGGACCTACAACCAAGATTACTCTACCCAGCAAAGCTATCATTCAGAACTGAAGGTCAGATAAAGAGCTTCACAGATAAGAAAAAGCTAAAGGAGTTCATCACTACCAAACCAGTATTACATGAAATGTTGAAGGGTATTCTTTAAGAAGAAGAAGAAGGAGGAGGAGGAGAAAAATATGAACAATAAAATGGCAACAAATACATATCTATCAACAATTGAGTCTAAAAATCAAAATAAATGAACAAGGAATCTAATGAACAAAATAAACTAATGAATAAAATAGAATCAGAGGCATGGAAACATGGAAGAGACTGACGAATCTCAGAGGGAAGGGGGTGGGGGAGGGTGGGAATAGATTAACCAAAGATCTTATATGCATACATGCATTATCTATGGACACAGACAATAGGGTGGTGAAGGCCTGGGGAGGGGCAGGAACCGAGTAGAGGGGGGCAATCGAGGAAAAAAGGAGAATATCTGTAATACTTTCAACAATAAAGATTTTTTAAAAATGTGAGTGGGCTCAAATAGGCCTCTTTGTGATAGGCAGCTATTGTCAAGCTGTTATCTATTCATCTTGTTTTTGAAACCTGACCCTGAAAGAAATGCCTTCTCCATGACTTCACACAGGCAGCTGAACTTGGCAAAGATACAATTACCATATTTCACTGATTATAAGATGCTCATTGTTTTAGGACCATTGACTTAAAAAATGCTGACAAACTCTGAAACAATGCTAGAAAACTATGGAACAATATTAGAAGGTATTCCAATTTCAGCATACGTCTTAGATTTGACCAATATAAAACATGGTCATTCTGGTGTATTTTAAAATTAATACAGAATTCCACAGCCCTCCATGCAGTTGGGCAATCCTCCTGTGATTCACTGGCAGGTTCGTTTTTCCACGATCCTGGATGACTAAAGACATACATTTGATCTCTTCAAAGTGCTGGTAGAACTTCTCCCCATTCCTCACATTATCAACGTCACTTGACATTTTGCAGAGAAAATATAAACCATCCAATGTAAACTCTATCCACTCTCACCTTCACTCCTGTCATCGTAGAGGAACTGTCTGTCTTCCTGTCAAAAGTCGTCCCTTCCCAGGAGCTGTCCCCTTCTCCTCACACTTCCTCAAGGATAGCATTCCTGAAGACTTCCTATTCCCTGCCTCATCACTTTTTCCCTCTACAAGGCATCATTCCATTAACATTCAAATATGTTCAAATAGCTTCTTTCTTCAAACCAAACCAAACTAAAAGTATCCCTTAGTTTCTACTGACTCTGCCCCAAGGCTTACTCCTTGCTAAGCTTGCCAATTCTAACCACCGTATCTTTTAATCTGATGCCACCTGCAAACATAGCAAATGTTTACCAGTCTATCAATTCCTAGATCAGCGATCAGAACGAGCCTCACAAGCCCATTACAGGGACCGAGACGACTCTCACTGACGACAGCTCTGGAGCCCTGGGCGTTATCGATGGCGATGGGAAGATTAGTGTGGGCACTGGCGCAAACGCGCCCACCTGTACTCTAAACATGGATGCGCATCACTGTGCGAATTCTACCTCAAATGTAACAAATAAATAAACAAATAATAAATGCCGGCTGTGTGACAAGAAAGCCGAAGGCAACGGGTATTTTCTGAAACCGAGTTAACAGAAGAGGCCCGCGGGAAGGTGTCACTGGAGAAGGGCCCCTCCCCAGGCCTCCTCCTCCCCAGGTGCCTCCACCTGAAAGCCCCCCCACCCCCAGGCGTTGCTTAGCAACAGCTCATTGCTATCTGATCTTTAGCTCCGCCCACATAGTGATTCCTGGACAGTTGGCCCTATTGTCTGGTGGCGCTGGATGCTTTGGGCAGAGCGACCAGGTCAGTTCTATGACCCCCCAGCGATGGCCATTCCCTGGGGCAAGTGGGCGGCTGTGTGGCTTCCTTCACAGACACAGCTCTAACTTCACAGAAGAGGGGCTGCTGGAGGATCAGAAAAAGAGGAAGAGACACCTGACTCTGAGAGGAAGGAGGTGGGAGCCACTCCGGCAATGTTAAGAGCAGAGAATGAGAGACCCGAAACTCTCTGTGGTGACCTAGAACAGAAGCATGAAGCGTCAGAGCTTCAAATGCAGCAGCAAACTGCTCCTTGCTGACATCAACTACAACAGAAAGACTTGGAAGTCAAACTTCTGAGAGGAAGACAGACAGAGCTAAGGAACAAGGTGCAGAAGCTGCAGTCAGCCCTTAGTCAAGAAATTCTGGAGCTGGTTGTACCATCAACCCCTGCATCGCCTTCACTGGTGATGACATCAACCCTCAGGCTACCGCTGCTTACAAAGACGTAGAAATCAAACTTCTGAGAAGAAGACAGATCATGCTAAAGAATAAGTTGCAGAAGCTGCAGCCAGCCACTTAGGAAATTGGCGCGGGGTGGTTGGTGGGGGCGGGGGCAATGTAGCCGGCCAGCTGAGCACGTACCAGAGCAGGCACAGCACCGCACCCCAGAGCCGTCCCGTTCTGTGCTTCCACACCTGCACCTGCGTCCCCCCTTCCCTGTACCCCTGCCATCCTGCCTGGTCATTGGCAGAGGTCGGGCAACGGGTGCTAGAGCAGGCAAAGCACCGCCACCCGCTGCACCCGCCCTGCTCCCCGCCATCCTGCCGGAGCCGCAGTAGCGGTTGGGCAGGGGCTGTCGCTGGCACGTGCCCGCCTGAGAGCAGTGGCTAGTGGGGTGGCAGGTCACGCGCCAGGCGCGCAGCAGCGGTGGGAGCCCCGCGCACAGCGCCAGGATGTGGCACAGAGAAGGCAGGCGGAACGCAGAGGCGCTCGGGATCAGCTCTCGACTACGCTCAGCAGGTACCCGAGCAGGCACAGCACCGCCGCCCCCCGCCCCGCTTCTACCTCAGCTGCCAGCCATTCCAGTGATCTTGACTTTCCCCCCAAACTGAGCTGAACTGTGCTGCACCAGGCCCGAGAGCTTCAGTGGCGTCTTACTCCTTTTCTGTGATTCAGGTCTGAGTGGATTTCTAGAAAGCCTGGAGCCATGTACGTGGCGTATTTTCAACAAGGGTGCATAGTCCTTGATGTCTCCCTCTGTCAGTTGTAAGTTCAGAAACCCACGTTTATGAGCATGTTTATGCTTAAGGAACCTAGCAATGCATGGGTAGTTGGGACTCAGGAATGATTCGTCATCAGTTTAAAAATCCTTGTGGATTGTTTGCATCTCTTTATCCTTTATTAAGTAGGTTCTTTCAAATCAGCTTTTTCCAGGTGGCAGAAGAATATAACTGCAGAGAGCTCCCATGCTTAGTCTAGCTCTTTATGTTTCAAATGTTTTAAATCTCAAGGTCTCTAAGTCAATAACACCATTTGGGCACAGTACTCTCCCTTCTGCCAATCACTGGTGGCCAGAGAGGTGGAATCTGAGATGGAAGCAGCTCTGTTGTGAATATAATACAAATGAAAGGGGTATCTCCCCCAAAGAAAGGCAGTACTAGGCCTCCACATCCACCTCTCTAAAATGCTTCTGAGAAGAGTTTGGGAGGCTCCCATTAAAAAACAAACACACACCTCCATGCCAAGCACTCTAGAAGGTACTTTATATAAATCATTCAAATTCCCCCAATATTCCTGTGACATAGAAAACGGACTCACAAATGTTTAGTAAACATCACACGGATCTAGAACTTTTAATGCTTTCATTTTACTATTTATAGTTTCTTTTATTTACAAAACTGAAAGAAATACAAAATAATTTTCACTGTACTCTGCACTAAGCATATGCTAAAGTTAATTTAAAAAATAACCAAGAGACTACACGACTGGCAATAGTATTTTTTATTATTAATTTTTTCTTTTTAAAGGAGAAGCATGCTTTTTTTTTTTTTTTTACAGCACCTGTAAACAAGTCAGTGAGTGTTGAGTTTCTGAGTTTTTATATATATTTTTTCCCACCCACCACGGAATGTTAGCATACTACAACACCAAACTGCATTACATAACAGTTATGTAGGCAACAGTTACTAAAGGCAAGTTAGGCAAAAACAAAGGTAAAATTTCATGGCTAAAAATATAGCAGCAACTTCTAAAAGATGACTTTATTAAATCAAGTCATTGCACTTGGTCATTTTATTGCTATAGCAAAACAAGGCCATTAAGTTTGTAACACTTCTCATTTCTGGTTTCAACTGATTGTCTCCTTCTGTTCATACATTTCAAGTTTAAATGCAGCATAAAATGTTTGCCAACACCTAGAGAGCACTTGGGTTTGGTTTCAATGATCACAGCAAGAAGCATATAAAAAAGAATCATCTGTTACTCCAGGCCCACTTTCCTTTCTCCCATCTGCAGACTTAGATTTTCTGAAGAAGCTTCAGAATTAAATTCTGTAAAGGAGCTTTGTGGTCACACACGTGTGCACACACATACTACTTCTAATATTGAAGCACAATTAGGAAAATTAGTAATATTGTGTTTCAAAAAACAGCAACCTGAACGATACATTCACAAATAACTTGGCAATGACAGATTCCGTGCTACTCACCCGTCTGTCATTTATGTTCTCAGAGCAAATAATAATGATTTACCCCCAAGTAAAGGCTGTTATTGTTACACACCATTTTGTGTTATAAACTTTATGAATAGGAATTAACAAAATTCCCATATCAAGGACAAATACTGGTAACTTGCTAGATTTAAGTAACCAGTTTTCCCTTTGAGTTTGTTTGGTTTTCTCTACTTTTTGGTCAAAGGTAGAAAAATAGAGACAGTACTTTAATTACTTTTCTATTCTGATTGAGGAAGTTTATAAGCAAACACTTTAAATGTATTTCTGGACTCATGACCATCTTGCCTTTATGTGCTAGTGAGAAAATGACCAACAGAAACTAACAATAGCCTGAAGTCGGCTGGAAACTTCCCCACCCCATTATTAGGGGGAGGAGGGGCCACGTAGAGATTTTTTTCAGACAGAAAGCTGAGGATGATTTCTAGGACACACTGTTCATTTCTACTTGTGGACTTTCATTAAAAGAAAGTAAGGTCTAACTTATTTAACAAGAAGGAAATCATTCATTTGACAAGTCATTTAAAAACATTAGAATAGGAGTAAACAATTTTGTTCAGTAATGACCTCATCAGAAGAGCCCAAGGATTTGAAAGAGTTAAAACATACATATTCAACACAATAAGTTTGCTCCAAACACTCATGTAAGTTGTGAATCTAATATGAAGTAATTATGAATTGGAATTTCTACTATTTTTGGCTTTAGTTATTTTATTTGAAATGTGACAAAATTAATACAAGATTTCAGAATTATAAGATCAAAACTTTAAAGGAAAAATATTGGTTTGGTGCTTTAAAATAACATAAAAAGGAAGCATGATAGAGGGTACTCAAAATCTAAATCATTTGCAATAAAAAAAATCTTAAAATCTAAATTATTTTGCAAATGAAGAATGTCAAATTTCTACTTTTATTATAAAAACGGACATTTTCAGACTACACATATAACACTTTAAAATATCCAACTGTTCATAAATGACTCTGAAAGAACTGCTAATTCATCCATTTTGTGAAAATGCATTTTTAATATGGTCAACTACATTTGGTTTTAAATAAGCTACGATTTAATGATATATTAACACTCTTTATGAAGTTGCTTCCTAAATCACAGTCCAAAATATCTCCACCACTTAGTTTGGTCTATTAGGTCAATTAAACATTGTAAAATCTAGCATTTACATAATGATAACTTGTCAAAGTATGAAACCTCACACTGAACTTCTGAAAGTTTTGAGTTTTGTTTACAATTATTAAAAATCAGAGGAAGGGGCATAAAGGATTAAATCACAAGATTATGAAATGGGTAATAGAGAAGCCTGTAAAATAAGCAGAAAAGCACAGCAATAAGGCTGGTGTTTGCGTATCATGTATGTGCTGTAGTTTTTAGGCACAACAAGTTAAGGGTTAAATTGACATAAATTGACATTTTTAGTTCTTTATACCCAATGAATTTAAAATATAGCTCGTATTTTTCCAAATATATTTAACAATCCAATATATCTTAACTAAATTCCTTTTATAAATCCTATAGTGCAAGCAATATGAAATATTCTAAAAGCAGAAGAAATTATTTTGATTAATTCATTAGATATTCCTATATGCATGGGTGAGTAATCTGGATACAGCTAGAAAACTCCCATTACATCGCCCAGAATATAAACAGCACTGCAAACAAACAGGCACAACAGTGTCATCCTGGGTAAGAAGCTAAAAGTGAAAGAAAAAATACATATTTATATATATACACACAAAGTACATATCCCCTAAGTATAACGTAGTGACTATAGTTACTATAAAGCTAATTTGTCCCTCTCAAATAGTATATTTTACAGATTATTTGTAAAGATATCACCATATTTATAGTATAGATCTCTTTAAAAATAATACATTTCAATAAAAAAAACTATTGTGAATTTTCCTTTTTATACAGATTCAGTAGTATTTTCAAGCAAACTAAAAAAGAAGTTTGCAATCCCAGCATGTAAGAAATAAGGCCTCTTTTCCCCCTCATATTGGCAAAGCAAAATATATAAAAAAAATTCACCCTCCCCCTACTTTTCTATAGATATTATAGTTCATATACTCATATTTCTTTCCCACAACATCAGCATTTGTTATTTTTAAGTAACAAGTCAATTGAAGTTCATAGTGTTGCCTCTGAATCCCCATTTCATTATAAATACTGGGTCTGTGCCTCTTCAAGAAGACAGGACAGCTTTTTTCAGCTTCTCGATTTCTACCTAAAATACAAAACATAAATTGAGCAGCAGAGACAATATCTTTACCCTAGTCAAGTTTTTTTTTATTTTATCATATGTCATTAAGATCTGGTCATACTTTCAAGCCTACAGATGCTGATTTCCAGTCTAAATCCAGTTTCCAATGGTGTGTACAAAGTTCAACAGAAGAAAATGTCACCATGCAAGTTCCTAAATGGCAGGCAACAACAACACAAAGGCAACTACAGTTGTTTCAGCCAGAAAAAGGTTATGCCACGTGAGCGTTTAGAAGAACTGTAAGAAAATCAGCCCCACAAAGAACGAGGATCTTTGAAACCAAATTAAGAATTTATACACAGACCTTTAACAAAAGGGACAGTATAGAACAGCAATAATTATAATAATAATAATCATAATAATAATAATAATAAAATATATACATAAAGTACCAGTTTAGTTCTCTTTTTCATGTACAACCAATGTGATATTGGTAAATCACTTAATCTCACTTGGTCTCAATTTCTGTACCTGCAAATAACATCTTCTAAATTGTTATCTTTAAATCCCAGAAATGCATTTAAGATTCAATGTACTGGAAATATTTGACCTGTAGGCAAACTCTATCCTTCAATTAACAGAAGTTCGCAATTCAGAAACTTAAGAAAATTTGAAAAATTCATTAAATTATCACAATAACTACAGTTATGTAATTTTGATATATTACAACTAAGTTGAGGCTCAAAGAGATTAAATACCATGCCAATGGTTTCGTGCTAGTAAGTGGCAGAGAACTTGTACTGATAAAGTCTAAGGCCCTAAAGCACTGTTTTTATAGTCTCTTCACATTGATATATTTTGATCATCTTTGACCTTTCCTGGCATGTGGAAATATTTAGGCCTTACCATCTCCTGAAAACATCATCCCTCTACCCAAAAGTCTATACATGCTATGGCTAACCTCTGACAAATAGTTCATTATTAAACAACTAGAGGCCCAGTGCACGAATTCGTGCACCAGTGAGATCCCTTGGCCTGGCCTGAGGGATTGGGCTGAAACCGGCTTTCCGACATCCCCCGAGGGGTCCCGGATTTTGAGAGGGTGCAGGCCAGGCTGAGGGACCCCACCGGTGCACGATTGAGGCCAGGGAGGGACACGGGAGGGCTCCAGGGCGTGTCTGGCCCATCTTGCTCAGTCCTGATTGGCTGGACCCCAGTGGAGTGTCTGCCCCCTGGTGATCAGTGCACGGCATAGCGACTGGTCGCCCATCGGCTGTCTGCCCCCTGGTTGTCAGTGCACATCATAGTGAGCGGTTGAGTGGCCTTAGCATATCATTATTGTATTACACTTTGATTGGCTGAACAGCTGACCAGACAACCAGACACTTAGCATATTAGGCTTTTATTATATACAATGAGCATTTTTGTCAGTAAAAAACTGTAATTCAATATGCTCACAATCCTCTCCAAGGGATTCTAACCATTCAAGAACGGTCTGTTGCCAGCCATGTGGCTCAGTGGTTGAGCATCAGGAGGTCACAGTGTGATTCCCGGTCAGGGCACTGGTGATAGTGGGCTCTATCACCAGTGGGGTGGAGGGGGGCTAGGCAGGAGGCAGCCAATTGATGATTCTCTCTCATCATTGATGTTTCTATCTATCTCCCCCTCCCTTCCTCTCCGAAGTCAATATAAATACATTTAAAAGAAGAAAAAAAAAAAGAATGGTTTGTTAATTCCAGGATCTTTCTTGATATTATTATTATTAGACTACTATGATTATTATACATTTTAGCAGTGTTGGATTGGGACAATTCTTAGTCTTCACACTGGATGAAGACAAAATTGCTCAATGGCCTGCCTAATGTGCTATTATTGTCTCTAGTCCAAAGATACATTGACCAACTGTACCAATTTTAATGGGAGAGGATACACAGAAATAGAAAGAAAAAAACACTGATAGAAGAGAGAGTAGGGGGTGGAAAAATAATCCCACATGCAGTCAGTAATATTCCTGACAGACTGTATAAATTTAGAAAATTAGGTAAATACCTATATTGCTGGAGTTTCTCTCATCTAGTTCTTTTATGTTCATTATTCATATGTAGTGCTATATAATGCTAACTTCATAGTAACTCAAAGTACTACTTTTAATTTTGGGGGAAATATAATTTCTCCTCTAAACAGATGATTCTAAAACTCAAATGCCTAAAGAAGAGTGCTTTTACAAATACAAGTGAAAAGTTTCCCCATTAGGGGAAAAAAAAAATAGTACAAGTCACTGAGTGGCTAATAGCTGATTTGGCTAAAAATAGTGAGTCAAACAACTTTCTTCAAAAACTAACAGTTCTGGCCCTGGCCAGGTAGCTCAGTTGGTTAGAGCGTCGCTCCAATACACCAAGGTTGCAGGTTCGATTTCCGGTCAGGGCACATACAAGAAGCAACTAATGAATGCATAAATAAGTGAACAACAAATTAACATTTCTCTCTCAAATCAATTAAAAAACAAACAAACCCAACAGTTCATTTTATTCTTGTAATATTTTTTAAAACATTTTTTCCCTTTATTGAATAAGATATTACAAATGTGTCCTTATCCCCCCAATGTCCCCTCATCCCCCCAATCCTGAGACTCAACACTGTATTAGTTCCTCTTACCTATATCTTATTTTCATATATGAATATAAATGTGTATGTATAAAATGTAAGGAATAAAAATCAAGAAAACATTTTAAAATTTCTCAATTTCTACCATGTTACACACTGGGAATTTAAGACCTTTTTAGCATGTATCCTCTAACATTTATCAATTTGACAAAAGTTGACTAGCTATCTAATATGTACATAGCACTGTGTTAGAAGATATGGGCAAAGATGAAACAGACATAGATCCTGTCTCCAACAGTCTTATAGCTAAAAGGTAGGCAAAAAGAAGTACATAATGTAACAATGATAAGATAAAATTAATTTCTTACAAAACTAAAGTATATGAACTTGGAGAAACATAATCTTAATCAGAAAAGACTGGTACCAACTTAAGGTGACTGAGCTGGGCCCTGAGAATCTGTAGAACTTGGGCATGAGAAGATGAAACAAAAGGAAAATAAACAGGCATAGAAGTTCAGATGATTAACTGTAAGGGACAATGGAGGATCAGCAAGTGAGGAAAGAGAGATAAACTAGGATCAGGTCATAAAAGACATATGCCAAGTCAAGAAGGTTAAACTTTATTCAGCAATTAAGAGAAAGTTCTTAAAAGTACCGAGCAAGGAAATTTGAGATAAGAATGAGAGAAATTTCACCAAGCCAAACAAAAGATAAAGAGCATGAGAAATAGTGGGAATAAGGAGATAAATGTTAGGATGTGAAGCTAACAGGCCTGAATGGAATGGAATCAGAAGCGAACAGAAGTACCATGTCCAAATGCTAGAAGGGCAACAAAACCATTGACAGAAACAAAGAATCAGAAGAGCAGGAAAGGAAGATGATAAATTTCACAGGGGACATGCTAAGTCTACGTTCAAGTGGAACACCCAGGAAAACTAATAGCTAGAAACACAAGATAGAAGATGGGACAAGAAGGATTAGATTTAGATGGCGATGCACTAGAGCTAATCAAGATATTCAGGGGCTCAGAGAAGAAGAGGGAATGCATAGAAAGGAGGATCAAGGACAGTACTGAGGGAGCTCCTCACTTACGCCACAAGAAAGGAAGAAGAGATGGAAAAGTTAAAGATAAAAATGCAAGATCATAAAAATCAAGCAAATCCTTGAAAGAGTGGCAATGTCAAAATGTGAAATGCCATGGTAACTGCAGACACTTTGGAGTTGCCATCAGTAAACTAAAAATGCCAGGGGTGAATTCAATGCCAGGACTGAATTAAAAGTGAAGAATTAGAGACTGCTAATGTATGCTTTTTCTTCTTCTTCTTCAATAGATGAATCCCAAATGAAAAGAGAAAACTACAGTAGATCCAGAAGGTATCTGGACATGAAAAGGGGCTTTTCTTTGTTTTATTTAGACTAAAAATAAAAAATAAAAAAAAGAGTGTTTTCATGGAAGAAGGAAAAGAGCCAGTAAAGGGGATATCTCTATATTTAAAAGCCTAATATGCTAAGTGTCCGACCGTTCGACCAGTTGCTATGATGCACACTGACCACCAGAGGGCAGATGCTCTGACCAGTAGGTTAGCTTGCTGCTGGGGTCCAGCTGATCAGGACTGGACAAGACAGGCTGGACATGCCCCGGAGCCTTCCCACGGTCCCTCCCCGGCCCCAATCATGCACCGGTGGGGTCCCTCAGCCTGGCTTGCACCCTCTCACAATTCGGGACTCCTTGGGGGATGTCAGAGAGCCAGTTTTGGCCCAATCCCCACAGGCCAGGCCGAGGGACCCCATCAGTGCATGAATCCATGCACCGGGCCTCTAGTGTCATATAAGGGTAAAAACAAAGTTTTGATAATTGACTAAATATCTTCACATATAACACCTCAACAACCAAAACCAAATAAGGCTAAGTGACTTCCTCAAGTTCAAACTGTATAACTTAATCCCTATGAGCAAAGGTTCTGAAGTCTGGCTGCTTTTGTTAAAAATTTCAGCTCTACCGGTGACTTAATCATTCTAAACGTTTTTCATCCTTAAAATGGGAATAATCCTACAAGTTGTTATGTGTGTCCAATGAGAAAATGTACAGGAAGCACTAAGCCTGCCTGACCCATGGTTTAGAACTGGAAGTCATGAGTAGAAGCCAGAAGAGGAGCTCAAGTTTTTAATGGCAAGTCCACGTCCTCTCCATGTCTCAGTGCTAACAGAAGAAATGGGTAAGTGTAATGAGGCAAGGGAAAAGTTGGGGAAAGTATAAAATAAATAGAGAATGGAATGAGCCTCTGAAAAAAGGCAGGACACACTTTCTCTGACATATGCAGAAAAAAAGACAAATGAAGGCCAAAAATCAGTGAGAATGGGGAAAAAGTTAAGGAAGACAAAGAAAACAAGTGAAATTGTCAGTCATCAGCACAATGAAGACGATGACATTACAGTTATAAAGTAAACTCTCAGTGAGAGATTCAAGTCAGCAAATCTATAGCCATCCCATTACCACCACCACCACCACCAGCTTTGCTCCCAGCAAAAGTAAGTTGAAAAAAAGAGAACTTAGCTCCAGTAAGAAGTAGTGTTGAGTGCAAAAGATCTAGAAGTAGACACTCTTAAGAGGCAAGAGCCATGCTTTACCCACGTGCCTCATGCACCGCCAATGAGAGGTAGTGCACAAAGAGCATGTGCTCAGTCACACAATGGAATGTGACAGGGAGTCAGCAAGAGGTTAATTAGTTACAAGCAGCAAGGAGTGTCCAGCTGAAGTAGGACAGCATCATTTGTAGTGGAACCAATCACCAAGTTGGGATGGAAAAAACACATCTACTTTATCCTGCCTGCAATCTCAATGCTGGCAGAAATGAGTTACCTCTAGATTACTTCTCAGTGCCTTCTCTTCTTCCAAATCTTTTCGTAGTTTTTCCAGTTCTTTCCTAAAAACAAAGTCTTAATTACTGTTGAGGCTTTCAATTAAAATATACATTTGACTAACGTCACCAGTCTCTGTGTTGCCTGACATCCAAAAACATGGGGGAAACTTTTTAAAGGAAAGAGCCATGTTAATTGAGAAAAATTTCAAAATCTCTACATGAAATGGTTCAGTATAAGAGGTAATACTCAACAAAACATGGCACAAGTACTTGAGAATAAATTTTTTTTAAAGTGAATACAGAACAGCTCATGACAAAATAACTTGTTTTTAGAAGCAATCGCCCATATTCAGTTACCATGCATTTCCCAGGCCTAAACAATTTGGTAAAACGAATGTCAAAATATGCCCCTGTATAAGGCAAATTATAGTTTATTAAATAAGATAACCATTTCTCTTCTCTATTTTTTAAATTAAACGTTACATTAAAATCCCAAAACCAAACCAATATACAAAATAACCTCAGCCAACAATCCCTCTTCTTGAACTCATGTGTTCATTTTGCTATGTTCTATCTACCTCTTTATAGTCATTTTTCCTTCCACACATCTCAATATATATTGTATATGTGACTTTTTCACAAAGTATTTTACACAACATTTCCATGTTGCTAAAATTTTCATATTTCTGATGACTGCTGTTCGGTATTCAAATATTCAGGTTTTTTGTTTGGTTATAGTTGGTTTTGCGGGGGGGGGGGGGGCAAAAGAAATTGGAGGAATAGGAACTTTATTTAACATCATGAACACATCAATAGATCAAATTTCTAAAGCAAAAAGTGTGGACATTATCAGCCTCCTGATATACTAAGAAAATTATCTTCAAGAGTATTGTAGAAATAGCTTGAAAAAACTGAAAATTCTCATGAAGAATATATGAGAAAAAAGGAAGTTTTAAATTATATAATATCAAAACTAATTTCTTCTGTGGTTTCAATGATTATAAAGCTATATTGTGATTAAATTTTCTACTAATTTTTAAAATATTTAACTCATATTTATGTAGCGTTAAGTTTGATATGTGATATAAAATGTACTTCTAAGCTATTTAACTTCCTATTTTGATAAAGTTTTCATTAAATAAAATAATGCTTCTTTTGTCCAATTATTCTATTATTCTGAATTTATTATACATTTAATTTATATCTAAATTAGGATCTACTCCTAGAATATTTATCCTGTTCTCTATATCTATACTTATATTGTTACATTATTCTAAGTATTTGTTTTGATAATTTAGAACTACTTTCACAACTTTATTGCCTTTCAAAAACACATGTACAAATATAAGCTTTTTACATAGCATTGTTTTCTCTTTACAAGAATAATATCAAACTACACACCTTGTCCTGTAACTTTTCTACTGAAAATATAAATTACTGACTCCATCACTCTTTCCATGGCAATCTCCCTCAGTTTTTTAATGACTTGTTCTATGTATTTGAGGTTTTAATACTGAATGCATAAAGTCTATTTATGCATTAAAGATATAATAACAAAGCAAGAAGCTAAGAACTCCAAGTCAGCTTAGGAAATAAAATATATAATACCAGTACCTCTGATACCCAAAAGTGACCCCCCCCTCCTCAATCCCATTTCTCCCGTCTCCTTCATAGGATGAGTTTTATAGTATTTATTGTTCTTTTTCTTCTTTCTAATTCTGTTTTGCATACAAATGTATCATGAAACAAAATACTGTTTTGTTTTTCAACTTTATGTAAATAAAATAATACTGTATGTCTCTAATTTACTTTTCCTGCCCCCCCCAAACATTTCTTAAATTCATGTTGACACATGTAGCCATAATTCATTTATTTTTATCACTGTACAGTATTTCTCTGTATCAATATACATACATATATGGAATATATATATACTAGAGGCCCGTTGCAGGAAGATTCTTGCAAGAATAGGGCTTCCTGAGGCCGGAGTGAAGCGGCAGGCTTCACTCCCTTCTCCGCTGCCTCGGCTCCCTCCCGTCTCCGCCGCTTCGCTTCCTCCCGTCTCCGCTGTTTCGGCTCCCTCCTGCCTCCGCTGCCTCGGCTCCCTGCCGTCTCTGCTGCTTTGCTCCCTCCCATCTCCGCTGCCTCAGCTCCACTCCCGTCTCTGCTGCCTCAGCTCCGTTCCCTTCTCCACCACTTTGCTCCCTTCTGCGGCACTTGGCTTCCTTCTACGCTGTCTTCAGTCTTTGCTCCGTGCCTGTGTATGCAAATTAACCTCCATCTTTGTTGGGTTAATTTGCATATCGCTCTGATTGGCTGGTTGGCATAGTGGAGGGACGGTCAATTTGCATGTTTCTCTTTTATTTGTGTGTGTGTACACACACACACTCCTGTGATGCTCTTCTTTAGTTTAAATTACTGCCATTCATTTCATTTTTCCAGAGAAAGTAAAGACTTCTAAAACACCTCATGTTTAAAAATATACATCATGCCCTAACCAGTTTGGCTCAGTGGCTAGAGCGTCAGCCTGCAGACTGAAGGGTCCCAGGTTTGATTCTGGTCAAGGACATGCACCTTAGTTGTGGGCACATCCCCAGTAGGGTGTGTGCAGGAGGGAGCTGATTGATGTTTCTTTCTCATCGATGTTTCTAACTCTCTATCCCTCTCCCTTCCTCTCTGTAAAAAACCAATAAAATATATTACCAAAAAAATAAAAAATAAATAAAAATATATTTAAAATATATTTAAAAACATATACATCATAAATATTTTATTCATTTTACAGCTAATTTAAGAGCACCTACAGGAAATTTGTATATGTAATTATTAGTTCATTAAGCACACCTGGTATCAAAAATGTAAAATGTCAAAATCAACAAATCAGGAGAATTCTTGGGTACATGCATGGTACTCAGTAAATATTTCTTAGATGAAATAACTTACAGTTTATAATGCATATATTACAGAATCTGTGAAATAAATAGCTGAACTCAGAAGAGAAAAACTAAAGGATTCAAGAAAGAGCCATTATATATCAAATTACAAATACTCTCCCTACATGATATATATGCATAAAATAATTTAAGTAGTCATTCAAGATAAATTTTTATTTGTATCCAAGAGATGTTTATAAAAATGCTCTGCAAACTACAAATACACTCTATTATTCATCTCAATATTGTTTTTATTAAAGAATCCAATGCCAACTGAGTATTGGGGGAGAAATGGTACATTCAAGCTCAGAGGTAGCATGATATCTGGTACGGACTTTTACATCAGATTCCAGGAAATACTTGTAGAGGCTATAGGAGACAGTGAGAAAGGAAAAGAGCACCTGACCCTTCACCCTCATGCAGTTAGATAGCTGATCTTTGATCTGTTTAACTACTGGGCTTTTGCAGAAAACGTTCTTAACTTTCACTGAGGGTATGTGTCAACATACACCATTATCAAAACCTTTCAGGGGTAAGAGATGGGTCTTAGAAACCACCTATCCCAACCCATTTGTTTTATAAACATGCAGCTTGGCTCTAGCAGAAACAGTGATCAAAGTCCTCTGAGAAATAAACATACAAAAAGATATACCCAGATCCAACATACAATATGGTTTTCCTAATTTTTTAAGTTTAATTAACTCCTGAGTTTGGCCAGTAAATGTCTAGCTTTAAATGATAGGTATGTCTGTACCTTTCCTATAACTGGGCTACTTGGACAAGTTTTCTAATTCAAGTTTTTGCCAAGAGGAGACAAGCACTATCAATGGAAATTTCTTTGAAAACATACTTATTGGTACCAGTAACTTGGAATACTACATCTGTACTTCATATGATTTGGAAGAATTCTTTACACAAGTGTCAAGTAGTACTCCAGGAAGCAAACCAGGGCTCCTTACCCATGCTCCTTTTTCAGTGCTTCCACAATGCACAGCAGTTCAATCATCTCAGCTTTAATTTCATCCAGGGAACTTTTTTTCCCATCGTCTGCTTCTAATTTAGCTTTGATTTCTAATGGAGTTAAAAAACTAGCCGCATTTGGTTTTGAAGGACTTGAAGGTGTTGAAAGGTACAGAGATGGCTGAAAATATAATAGAAATTATTATAATTTTATTTGTATTTAGATTTAAGTCCAAAAGGTTTTTACAGCAAGGTGATGAATAAAGCAATATGTCAAGATAAATAGTAAATTTGGAATACTAAAAGCAGTCTGGTGTTCACAACTGGAAAACACACCAAAGAATGAACTTGCAAATCACTAAGGTATTTTTGTGAGAATTATCAAGGGTTTTGTTTTCTTTAAAAAAAAAAAAAAAAAGGAGAATACTTTAGATTTACATTATGATGGTCTAGTGGAATGTCTAGAAGCAAGAATATACAGTCCCTCCTTTATCTGCCGTTTCCCTTTATGCACTTTCAGTTAGTTGGAGTCAACCTTGGGCTGAAAATATTTCTTTTCTGTCTTAAAATATTAAATAAACAATTCCAGAGATAACAATTCCTGTTTTAAATTGCATGCCATTCTGAGTAGTGTGATTAAATCTCGAGTTGTCTCGTTCTGTCCTGCCCAGAATGTGAATCATCTGTTTGTCCTGGTGTCCAAGCGGCATATAGGCTACTTGACTATTAGTGACTTAGTAGCCATCTTGGTTATCAGATCAACTGGTCCTGGCAATTGATACGCTAAAGAGAAGCCACTGATGCTTCCCAAAAGGAAAAAGGTATGTATGCATATACATATTAAAAATAAAATTATATATACCGGGAGATCTGAAAACAGATCCACCACAGATAATGGGAGAATACTGTATCACCATTACAATATTGTTTTGATCCTCCATATTAAAATTATTATTTAGAATATCCAAAGAGCTTCACTTACAAGTAATTATGAAGTGCATATAGAGGCATTAAAATGAATACATGATTTGACAACCTACTTTTACTATTTCACTAAAATAACAGCAAATAAAATTTCAATGGACTGCTAACAGCTCAGAGAATCTGATTACGTGTATCTGATAAACTGGAATAGCAGCCAAATGCCCTGGAATGAATGGAAGGAAGAAATATGACCTTCTTAAATATGATTCCATTGTGGTAATACTACTTTAAATAAAAATGGCAAGAGTTTAGAAAAGGGTCTTAATATCATAAAATAGATGGGAGGAACCATATATTCCACCACTCATTCCAGTGCTTATTATCGTACCAAGCATCAAGCTAGATAAGAAGTGAACACGTGAATGCTTCTGCCCTAATGAGTATATGTTTCATGAAAGTAAAATAAATGTATAGATCTATGCCTTAACAAATAGAAAACATATAATATTCTTATATTACGCCTTTAAAATAATGTGAGGTCTTTAAAAAAAAATCTGCAGAGAACAGTGTGACAGCTTTAACAATTCAATTTTTTAGCAGGTATTATTTTATTTCTTGGCAGAAGAGATATTTCTTAAAGGACACTTCAAATTACACAGCTTTGACGTTTAAAAAGAATCTTATATAGTATATAAATCTTAGACCACAGCGCACACCTCACCTTTGGAGAGTTGCAAGAATCCTTTTTAAATTCAGATGGCTTTATGTTGGCACTATCTTCTTCTTTGGGTGACTTCAAGATTTTTTCTGGGCTTTGAGTTGGCTAAATGATTTTTTTAAAATCAAGAAACAGAAAACACCAAAGCAGGAAAAGTTAGTACTTGATAATAAAATAAATAACTTTTATCTCTGTTCTCTGCACCTACTGTTCCATTATTATTAACAGGATGTTACATAATTTCAAGCTGAATAAGACATTTGCATAGCTTGAGGGAAAAACAGGTTCCCTCTCAGCAGTGAAAATTTTCTCTAGTTAGGTAATTTAAAATCACCACAGTGCTTAAAAACGAATATATTAGCACTAAAGCATTACTAGTATCCCCGGCAATGTATAACAAGCATAAAAGTAAGTTCCACATTTATATACCAGGATTTGTACTACATGAATCACTTCCTACTTCAAGGAGAAAGATGTTTTCCGTCTTTCCTAAAATGTGTATGTGCCACTCAACTCTAATTATTGTTGTTGGTCAGGCAGATTATACAATATACCATGTCCTCTTTTGAGTGCTCTGTGGTTATGGTCTCAGGACACTCTTTCTGATTCTGGAACCTTCCATTCCCAGCTCTTTAAATGAGCAGGACACATTCCCCACATCTCCTTAAATACAACCATGTACCACTTGAGTGCAACAGCTATCTTCCTGTTTTTTAAACTTCAGTAAAGCTATAGAGTAGTGATTCTCAACCTTCCTAATGCCGTGAGCCTTTAATACAGTTCCTCATGTTGTGGTGACCCCCAACCATAAAATTATTTTTGTTGCTACTTCATAACTGTAATTTTGCTACTGTTATGAATCGTAATGTAAATATCTGATATGCAGGATATATTTTCATTGTTACAAATTGAACATAATTAAAGCATAGTGATTCATCACAAAAACAGTATGTAATTATATATGTGTTTTCCAATGGCCTTAGGAGACCCCTGTGAAAGGGTCATTCGACCCCTAAAGGGGTCGCAACCCACAGGTTAGAAACTGCTGCTATAGAGCCTCCCTCGATCTTATCTTCAGAAGGATTCTGGAGCTGCTAAAGTCCTCGTTTTACAACAGTAAGTGTAACTCACAGAATGCCCGCCATTGAAGCGGCCAGGCAATCTTCTTCCAGGCATCTTCGGTCTGTTTGCAGTGAGATGGAGTAAGTTTTCTGAGGAAGCTATGTCATCAAAATTCACAATATCTGGAGAATAAAATTCAATGTATACACTAAGAGATAACTGTGCATTTTGAAAGGTAAAAATATTTCTGAATTTTTAGCAAGCTTTAAATTAAAGGACTCACAAGTTGACCTGTGCTTTTCATATGCATTTAGAAAACAACACTCACCCTTAGAAAACAAACTTCCTCTTCACCTGATACATTTTATAGCATAAGACTTTAGTAACAATATAAAGTTCATGCTTTTAATAGACTTAGACCAGAGCAAAAAGTTCTTGGAAGATATAAATCTGTACTTGTCACAAGCTGTTGTTGCATAAAAGAGCTGTCATCCTAAGTTCTTCCTTATAAAAAAAATAATTTATTTCAACTCAATTAATTACTGTATCATATAATAAAAACAAAAACTTTGTTTGAAACTTCAGGTAGTACCCTGATATTCAAATTTTAAGGATTCTACTATATCTGGGACCCACACTGCTGCTTTCCAGTTGCTTTTCTCAATGTGAAGTGAAAGTACAATTTAATGTGTTTGATATACTGTATGTATGCATGTAACAGTATACTGTAGCTGGGATGCACACTGTTTATAGTTCACTGCACTTCTGCTGAGACATCACCATGTTTAGAAGTTATAAGGTAGTTATAAATCTAAGGCAGATGGGAGATCAAGGAAAAATCCTACATAGATCATCCACTTGTTTCCCAACCATCAAAGGCTGGCTGACCTTCGATCCAATAACAGATGTAAAGAGAAACCTAGTAATTCATATATCTGAAACAATAATGTATAATGCCTTTACTTTTTCTACATGATCCAGAAAACCTTCCTAAAGAAGCTGATCTTTAATTTTGAAGCACAGGTATCTCTAAGTATACAAAAACCTCAAGGATAATTCCAGATACTTCCACTGTCACTATTATCTTCCTTAAGCCCAAATTAAAAACTAGGGATATTAATCACAGTCAAGACCCTTGAAATGGCAGATTTCTTTGGCCTAGTCTTCCAGGTATCGAATCATTCTTCATGTTATCGTTACCTGAATGTTTATACACTTTCTGTCAAATATTTAGATGCCCCACCTCAGTTATATTATTTTATAAAAGAATCTAAAGATTCTAATCATTACTGCCCTCAGCTTATTCATCAATTTTCATATTCAAAGTAATTCATTTATATTTTTTTAAAGGGATGAAGAAAAAAAGGGTAAGGCAGAGGAAGTTAGGTATCACTGTTTGGCAATATGCATTTTGTGACACCTTTAAATGTCTGTTGACCACTTAATTCCTCTTCACCTTCACATTTTGGAATTATATTCTGGGTTCTATTTTATATCTAGTCACTAGGTTAATACATCACAATAGGCAATCCAATGTGCTTGGTTTAATTATTGTCTTGAGTCAAATAATTGTCTGTAAGTAATTATAAAATATAATAAATCATAATAAACAGTGGATTTAATGTATAAGTCATTATACAGTGTGAAAGACCTTGAGTGTGTGTGTGTGTATATAGTGATATATATATGTATGTGTGTGTGTATATATATATACACACACACATACATATATATATCACTTTATCTGCAAATGTCACCAATAAAGTAAATAATCAATATTTTTTAAATGTTAAAAATATACTGTAGTATAAAGGGTGAAAAAATATTTTTTACACTGATGTTTATTGACAACCTAAAAAAAATCCTTGAAAAGTACAATCCAATCATTTTGGTCCCTGGAGATTATTTTCAAATGCATATTGAAGCAACTTGCAGAAAGAAAAAGAAATAAACAGAAAACCATAGAAAGGAATGAAGATAAATGAAACTGAAAGGGTAAATAAAAGGTAAATTATACATCATGCTCATGTAAAAAAGGCCTTTTATGTGTCCAATTTTGGGCTACAACACCAAGATAAATGATTTTACTATTCTAAAACTCTCTCAGGTCCTCCATTGAAGCCATTAGGTTAATAAAATGAAATAGTGCACATCTTGGACTCATGATATATTAAACACTTTTCAATTTCTCTGAGTAATAACAATAGATTTAGACTGCCCACATGGCATAAAAGGCATGACAACCACTTAACTCTTGCAATTATAATGTCACTCTGCCAGCCATTTAAATTTCTAAATACTGCCTAAGACGACATGGAGTTTTTAAAAATCACAATGAAATATCAAATTGGGGGAGAAAGTAAACTGATTTTTATTGTTTTCAAGTAAACACAAAACTTTTATCAAAAAATATCTTAAACTGACCAGGAAAATCTTCCCAACATGAATTTCATTTTATTTTAAAATGGAAAACCAAAGGGTTAGAATAGACAGACAAACATGTAGACTTTTAGTAAAATTACAAAAAAATATCAATGTGCACCACCTATTTATACTGAATATAATATTTTGATTTCTTTTATAAATTGTTATCTTACCAAAATGGATTTCAAGTAAACAAAAAATCTTTTATCAAAAAATATCTTAAACTGACCAGGAAAATCTTCCCAACATGAATTTCATTTTATTTTAAAATGGAAAACCAAAGGGTTAGAATAGACAGACAAACATGTAGACTTTTAGTAAAATTACAAAAAAATATCAATGTGCACCACCTATTTATACTGAATATAATATTTTGATTTCTTTTATAAATTGTTATCTTACCAAAATGGAGAAAGGTAGAATAATTTTCTGACACGTAAGAAGGGAAACATGGCAAACAGGCTAGGAAACAAAATCTGGAAAGAAAAGTCAAGGATAGAAATGTCTAGAAAAAGGACTAAACCAAAAAAATTATTTTACAAAGCAGGAAAAAGGAACAGTTGTAGAACGAATAGAAGCAGTTCAATGTTTAGCATATACCTATTACAAATAATCTAAACTTACATAAGATGTGTCCTGGATTTTAGATTTTTTCTTTCATTTTTCAAAGGGAAAATTATGATGGGTATAAATTTCAATAAATTTCAGATATTTTTTAAACAAGCATTTTTTTTTATTACTCACTGAACACTAAGACAGTTTCCAAAAGGATGTTTTAATACTAAAATTAGTGGTCAGAGTAATAAATCAATATATTAACAACTCAATACTAGTATAGCTGTTACTAAAATTAAACTATCTTTTGATCAAGTTTTAGTCTTCAGCATATAGTAAATATGAGAAAATTTTAATTCTATGATCTAATAAAAACTATATTATTCTTTTAAAATATTTCAGTATAAAAATGCAACTTAGTATAACACTTGAAATCTCATACATATGTAAGTGAAAATTCATTAATATAATAACTCTCTAGAATGACATTGAGGAAATTATTAGAAAATACAAATTTTAGCCCAAGAAGAATTTACCACAGAAAAACAATTTAAAAAGATAAAATACACCATGGCCCATGTATCTCAGTGGTTAGAGAGTGGCCCTGCATACAAAAGGGTTGCAGTTTCAATCCCCAGCCCCAGTTGGGGCATGTGGAGGAGGCAACCAATCTCTCTCTCTCCCCCTCTCCCCCTCTCCCTCTCTTCCAGTCTATCGAAAAATCAACGAAAAAAAATATCGTCAGGTGCGGATTAACAACAACAAAAGGATATATGCTACACTCTAAGAATACTTCATCATCTGTGCTTTTGACATAATTACATTACCACTAAATTTTCTATTTTAAAACTAATTGTAAACTGTCTGGAAAATTAACTATTTAGGCCACATAAAGTTTATAATTAACCAGTAGTGGCAGCGAGATTATCCTAACCATTTTTTATGAAGTGTTTGAAAAGCAATTAAAACATGGTTGTAACAGCTCTACAATTAGTAGTACTATTTTATATAATATAAGAGGATATTTATAAACTTTTCAAAAGAAAAATAAAACCAAATTGACTGTTCTAGGAATGTTTTTCTTATATGTACAAAAGTCAGAGTCTGTACTCATATACATACATGTGTTTTATATGCCTTTATATACAGGAAAATCCTATCTGAGAGGAGGATCAGGAATTTACATCCTTCCTAGATAGGAGCAGAAACAGAACGAGATGGGGTTAACAATGGAGGAGGGGAGCAGAAAGGAAATAACTTTATACCAACTTCCATGTCAGGCATTCTAGTAAGTATCATAGAAATTTTGGGCTGTTCAGTTGTTACTTAAGCAAGAAAATAGATTAATAGAAGAAACATGCCAATAATGACCATCAGCTAATAATTTACAACCCACATTTTTTAATAGCAAGGACAGTGTACTTTCTACTCTGTCATTTCACTTGAAATTATTTATTACTTTACATCATAATGAAACTCTAAGAAGATTTTTGTATTTTTAAAAACTTTCTGAAACTTGTTAAAGGGCTAGACTGATATGCTGTTTAAAAAATTTAAAACCTGAGTCAAAAATATAATTTAAAATAAGCCAAATTTGAGGCTGTATTTGATGTAGAACACAGTTTCTGAAGAAGAGGTAAAACACCTTTCTACTACACGTACTAAGATCATCTGATATTTTAATAAAAAGAAAATAAGGAATAACCTGAGTTATGGTCTGAGACATAAGCTACTGTCGGCAGCTGTCTTTTACGTTGACACACTACTTATGCCTAAAACAGTACTGAAGAGAGAACACTTCTTATTTAGTAAATATCTGCCACTTAAAATGAGCTCAATTTTCAAAATTTATATTTTCTGAACTTTACAGGGTGTAAGTGTGGTACACCTAGGGCAGACTGATAGCTTTATTCCTGAAAGAATAAAGGACAGCAGCTTGAAAGTCAGCTGTTAGTTTCTTGACCACATATATAAGTCTCAGCATCTCTAAGTTACTCCCTTATTCATTTGATAAAGAAAGAAATCAGAAAATTTCAAAACCCTGTTCCACAAAGCCTTTTTGGTTTTTAATGAAGGCTGAATAATGGCTATGGATGTAAGATAAGAATTGGGACCAAAAACAAGGCAAAAAGTAGAACTTTTCAACCACCAATACTTTCACACTGTTAGACATCATTTTTGTTAGAAATGTAGCAAAGGAAACAAAATTTACTGGTGATCGTATATAGAAAAAGTTTGGAAAACTAAGAATGGTTTTTATTTACTTAAAACATTTTTATTTTGTAATTTTCATGACCTTGAGACAACCAAATGATGAAAAATATGCAAGAATGATACAAAGGAACAGAAAAATACAGAATATAGACGCTCTAAATATTACTTCTTCAGCTCCCAAAATGACATTAAAATTTAAGACTTCTGATAAAAAGTGAGGATAATTGTGGAAATTAAAAAGGTAATGTCCATGGAGTTTTTATTTCCAGAGTTAAAACTGTGCACTTAATCTTTATTTCTCCAACTATGACTTTTGAAAACACATTTCTAGCTGTATTTTACATCAAACAGAAAACAATAAGAACTGATAAAATCATATTTTCACCACTAACCTCAACAGAAAGGAGTATTTTTAAAAACACAAAGAGAATTTTATTTTATTTAACTAACAATGAATATGAATAATTTTCATCAGATAAAACATACTGAACATATTTGAGTGAATGCCTCTAAAGTACAACCAACATCTCAAATTCCAGAAATTATTCATGAATATGGCTTCATCAAGAGCAAGCAGGATCCAAAATACATGATAAAAGGATCTATAAAACACTTAAATTAAAAAACTGAGAGAGGCCATGTTTAGGTCAGAGCTTTGGTATTGGCAAACTGCAAAGAGGAAAGACAAATAAAATCATCTGAAGAATTTTGGAAGTTGGTAAGTAGTACATTTTCTAATATAGTGACAAAAAAAAAAAATCTAAGTGTAACTGACCTTGCGTTTACATCAACACTGAAACTAAAAATGTATTTAAAATATTAAAATTTTAAAAAATTATTTCATAGAGCCCTTAGTATAAAGGGGATTTAAAAAGTTCCCTTCTGGTTTATGTGATCTTGAACATCTGATGTACTTTTAGCTTACTCTGTTTAGATGTAAAATAGAAAAATTAGTATTTGTCTCTTACAGTTACTGTAAAGATAAAATAAGAACATATATGAGAAAGTGCTTTGAAAATGTATAAAAACTAAAAACAAATTCTAAGTACTATACAATAACCATTACCACAAGTGTACAGCGCTTTAATAGTGAGACCTTTGATTTGTATCAAGACTTTCTCTGTTTCAAGTGTTTCATTTTAGAACTAATATGGATAAAAGACTGGAAACTAATAAAGATGATTAACAGGCTGAAAAAATCAGTCTGAAACTTAATGAACAACATTTACCTAAAGAAGTAAAGCCTGCTGATATGTAGAAAGAGAGTAAGTCACAAAAAGCCTATTTGTCTGAATTGAAAAGTATATTGGTATTAAGTAGAAAATAAAAATATTCTTAAATGTAATCTAGTGCTGGCATTAAAGTCTACATCACCTCTTTATTTTTAAACTTCTAAAACTAAAACATCCTCAGATCTGCCTGACTTAGGTGGTGTGGTCTTTCTATTCTGAAGAGACAGAACGATAAATGGATGAACTCTTAATAGCCACCTCAGTCCTCTGGCCAATAAGGAAGTTTATGTGAATCATAAATATTCTGCCTGTTTATCTTCTTTTATGTTTTTCTATTTTGGCTTCATAGATTTAAAACAAATTTGAATTAAATTCCACTGTATCTGTCCACACACAAATTGTATATACAAATTTATTTTAAATCGTTTCTGAAAACTATACCGGCAACTTTTAAAATGTACCACCTTTCTACACGTTAACTTACCTGTTTCTTTAAAGCTCCTAATTGTAAATGAATCTAGATCTACTGATTTTGGTCTAAGTGGTGACTGTTCAGAATCTAACTTTGGTTTTGATACTGGCTCAGTTTCAAATTTTGATGAAATGGCAGGCACTTCCCCATTAATCCTGAAATGAGAAAATGAAACAGAGGCAAAAATCACTTGTATGTGAAACATGACCATTTTGTAACATTTTAATTTAATGACACTAAAGATGTTATAGCATAATACCGAGTTTTATTTCTGTTCTATAAAATGATTTCTATAAACATTGACTTCTACCTTAAAACTAATCCTAATAAAATCAAAAATGTAGCCCTAGCCAGTTTGGCTCGATGGATAGAGCTTCGGCCTGCAGACTGAAGGGTCCCAGGTTCGATTCCGGTCAAGGACACATGCCTGGGTTGCGGGCTTGATCCCCAGTGGGGGGTGTACAGGAGGCAGTCGATCAGTGATTCTCTCTCATCATTGATGTTTCTAACTCTCTCTCCCTCTTCCTTCCTCTCTGAAATCAATAAAAATATATTTTTTTTAAAAAATCAGAAATGTAAAAATATATTTTTTTAAAAAATCAGAAATGTAATATGAGTATAGTCACTGAATATAAGTATGAATATAAGGTTAATATTTAACAGAGGAATTACTAAAATATATAGAAAAAACATGGAAACCAAATACTTTAAAATTTTCTTTGAGATTTACTAGTAGAAAGGCATTGATATCAAAGGCAGGTAAATTAATAAACTACTTAAAACTTACCTGGCTACAGGTGGTAGTGGAGGAACTGGTTTCTCAGGTCGCTTTGGGTATACTGTTCCAGAAGATCTCAATAAATTATTGACTTTGGTGGGTGGAGTAGGCTTCTTCGGTGGAACTTGTGGAGCAGCTGGTTTAGAAGGTTTCTGGTCCAGCATGGATTTTTCATCTGATTATTTAAAAATAGTTAATAAGTTATTAACAATGAGAACTGTTTTCTATGGCTTAAAGCTAAAGCCAGGCTGGAAAAGTGTGAAACAGAGAAGAGAGACATATTAGTAAGTGAGCATGTGCACACTGTTTTATGTTTTAAAGTTATAATAAGCCTAAATGTCTAAAAAAGTTTACTTTGGTGGGGTGGGGGCCCCCAAATAAGCCCTAATGTACAAATAATGCCTGTTTCTTATTGTCTTCTCAGCATCCTTTGCTTTTAGGAGTGGTATTCCACTCAAATATAACCACTCGTAATTTTACTGTAAGCTGAGAACAAGATTATCTAGACTTAAGTCCATCAGATCACTTAGTAAAAATAAAATAAAGGGAGCTGAAAATGAGTAGGAATCCTAGTGCCATTTAACATAATTATTTTGAAATAATCACAATGACAAAGAAAAAAAATCAAATGTTAAGAGACATTTAAGGGAAACTGATGCTAGACTGATTAAGCAAAGGTAAGAAAATTACAGGCTTGTATTTGTAATTCTCACCTTGGTATTAGGAATTTTATTAACATTTAATTTACTAACTCTATGAAATAAATTTGAAAATATGCTGGACAAAACAATACTGAGGACATTTTTAAACAATGTTAGGAAAAACAATTTTATCACCAAAAGTGCATGGTATTAACACACTTCCTTGGATCATATGAAATATAGCTTAGTCTTTAAAACCCTGGCCATCCAAACTTAAATTTCTATAAAACAGTTAAATAGATGTTTTATAAAAAATATCAGAAAAAATGTTAAAGGATAGCAAATAGAAGTTCAGTGATTAATTGAATACACATTCTTCTTTTAACAGATAATATTCATGGAAAGCAAATGTATCAAAAATAAGATTCACCATCCCTGGTATATCTGAGATTAAATCAACTATAGTATACTGATTTATAATACAGGATGTCCCAAAAAGTGGATACATAATTTGAATGATTATAAAGTCAGTGTTTATTAATATAGAGTCCATTTTCAAAATTTTAAAAAATCTACAGAAATTGTTTTGTCAATGCCTGTTTTCAAACTGATAACCATTCTGGTCCAGGCTCTGCTGATAACACAAAGCAATGGAATTACAAACATTAAGAATCATTTCCTTTGGTATTTGTGCCCCCTCAATTCGTCGACTGTTCCTGGTTTTGTACTGTAAACTTTATCTTTTATGTATCCCCATAAAAAAAAAAAGTCTAGTGGCACTTTAGGATAAATTTTTTGTTCAAAGCTTAGTCTGGCTTCACCCATTATTTCAAATTAGTTTAACCCTGAAAGGAATGAAAATTAAGTGAGTTAGCAGCTTTTAAAATGTGTATACGCTTTTGGGGACACCCTATATAATTAATATATGATGGCAATGTATTTGTGTACTAGATTTTAATTCAGGTAAAACTTACATAAAATTAACCATTTTAAAGTGAACAAATCAGTGCCATTTAGTATATTCACAATGTTTTACAACCACCATGTCTACCTACCTCTAAAACCCTTTCATCTCCCAAAAGAAAACTTTGTTCCCTTAATCATTTACTCCCTTTTCCCTCCTTTACCCAGCCCCTGGAAACTACCAAGCTGCCTTCTACCTATATAGATTTACTTATTCTATATATACATGGAATCATACAGTATGTTACCTTTTTTGTCTGGCTTAGTTCATGTAGCATAATAATGTTTTTGAGGTTCATCCACATTATAGCAGGTATCACTATTTTTTTTCTTTTTGTGACTGAATAGTATCCATGAATATAGCATAATCCATTCATTTATTGAAGGACATTTGGTTGTTTCCACCTTTTGGCTATTGTGAACTGCGCTGCTATGAACATTTGTGTACAACTATTTGTTTGAATACCTGTTTCCAATTCTTTTTGGTATATATCTAAGAGGAATGGCTGAAACATATGGTAATTTTATGTTCAACTTTTTGAGGAACTACTAAAAATTTTCACAGCAACTGAAACATTTTATATTCGTATCAGCAATATACGAGGGGTTTAATTTCAGCATATCCTTGCTAATATTGCTATTTTCTATTTTTAATATTATAGCCATCCCAGTAAATGTGAAGCGGTAGCTCATTGTGGTTTGGTTTTCATTTCCCTAATGGCTAATGACACTGAACATCTTGTCATGTGCTTGTAAGCCATTTGTGTATCTCCTTTAGAAAAAAGTCATGTTGCCCTGTCACTGTCAACATTGTTGTAACCACACAAGGGGAACCAATTTAGAAGATAAAGTAAACACTAGGTTGGCAGAATGAAGAGAGAAAGAGATAATCCAGGTCCATCATAAATTATAGAGTTTGGGGTGAGGGAGGTCAGATGACCCCTACTTCTGGACTTCTAATTACCTAAGACTGTTTCCCAATTGTTTAAGTAAGTTTAAATGAATGTTTTATTTTCTTTGCTTTTAAAATGTCCAACTTTTTTTATCCATACCACCACTACATGTACCTAAATAGCATGAGAACAAAGTTTCAGAAAAACATATCTAAACAGGTCACACCAGTGTTTAAATTATACAATAAATATTGTACTGTGTATCCATATGCATTATATACCTACTGTGCAAGGACCTACAGAACCAATGTCAAATAAGATTTAGACACACACACACACACACACACACACACACACTCCCTACACCTGTGCCTTTATGAAGTTTAGTCACGTGAGAAAACAAAATAAATCTAAACTAATAGGTGACATATGACAATGAGTTATATCTATTTTTAGATAGAGTAATTTAAAAAACTAATTCAAGGAGGTGACATACACTGGATATTATAACTGAAACCTGAAAAAGAAAAAGGAATTAGCCATAAAAAGTTTCTGAAAGGAGTATAAGAGAGATAGGATTCCAGGGAAAGAGTACTATACCATGTAACTCTGAAAAAAAAAATACTGGTATTCTATAAACATGATATAGTGGGGGAGTGTACTACACACAGTGAGCAAGAAAAGAAAATTATGAGAAATATTAGAAAAGTCAACAGAAGCCAGATCACTCAAAACTTGCAAGGCTAGGCTAAGGCTAAAGTGATCAAGAAAGTCTGCTTTAGAGAAAAAAATATTATAAACTGGATATTTCTCCCAAATGCAATAGGAAGCATTCAAACACATTAAGTTGATGTGTTATATATAACATACACATATTCGAGGGAAAATACACATACACTATTTCCATAGTATAAATTCTGAAACCCTTATCACTACTTTAAATCCTTTTTGGAGCAGGGCAAGATGTAAACAGACTAGAGGCCCAATGCGAGAAATTCGTGCAAGGGGCTTGGTCCTCGTAGCCCCGGCCTTGTCCTCGTCCAGCTGTCTAATTAGCATATTACAATTTTATTATTATAGTTAAATACATGCTACATCTCATACCATTGAAAGGCCTATCATGAACTACACAAATGGTTCTCAATTTTGTCTTCAGATTAGAATCACGTTATATAGGCTAAAACCTGAGCCCTACCCTATAAAATTCTGTAGAGGAACCTAGGCATCGACATATTTTTTAGACACCCCAGTATTCTCACATGTGACCAGGATTGAGGACAACTGTACCAAGCTACCTGTCTAGCTTAGTTCCTCAAAACTCCTCCTAGGTGCCTGGAGCCATTTCCTGAATATGCTATGCTTTCTCTCATTCTTTTCATATTCTCTTTCTGTAGAATCACCTTTGCTTTTCTAGTCAACACATTCTGCTCATTTTCTAAGTCTCTGTATCATCACAATACAGTAGTTAATGTCTATTAACTATTCAACTAGCAATGGTCAGAATATTTTTTAAAATGAAAAAGAAACTTTTTAATCTTCCTAGTAATTAGCAGAAGCAAGCTGCCTCATACATAACTGACTGAATTTATGTTATATGTTTAGCATTTGTTAAGTCTGTTTCAGGTATGGTTATAAATAAATATAGTTTGCCACTTCTTAAGAGGTCAAGATTATTTTTAGGTTCAATCTGGAGAGAGAAATTAGAGATATCAAAATGTTCTTTGTAGAACATTAGAGATAAGTATCATTTCCTTTTTGGTAAGCATGCTAAATATAAAATACAATAGAGTCCTGCCACAGCTCTCAACTCAATGTCTATGTACTACAGATTGTGTCACAAATTAAAAGACACCTCCAATAATAAATGATCTTAAATGAGTCTGGTTATGTTTGTTCTGTTTAGGAATCAACTGAAAAATAAGAAGGCTGACCCCAACTTCTCAAACAGAGAAGAAATGCTCCTCAAGGAAAAGTGAGCAGATTCACTGCCGCTAATAATAAAAATGTGGAACCAGGCGAGGCTTCAGCAGCCAATTCTGTTCTTGCTGTGGATGTGCCTGGGGCCTTGGGGAGGACATGATAAAGGTTATCATTTAATTGATTTTTATAAGCCTGATAGAGCTTTTATTATATCCTATCCTACACCTCCCTGCCTGGCACCCCAAAATAAACATCAGTTCATCCCTTCCTGTCATACATATTTCATGCCAAGGATGAGAAAGTACACCAAGAATGAAATAAACTACTGATAGGTATGTCCAGGAAAGCTTTTCCAAAAAGCGAGAGAAAAACTTACACTCCAAAGTGCTGATAGTACCAGTCTTCTGAGACACAGCATGGCTGTCATTCAAGGTACCTCTGAGAAAATCAGCGGCATAAAACTGCTAAGTAGATCTGAGAAGATACACATGGCGTCTTGGGGCAAGGAGTAGACAGTGAAGATTTAAACTCCATTCTTAATATTTGAAAAAGTATCCCAAGGAAAAAAGCATCCTCACTTAAGAGTCAAATGTAGGATGATCAGATGCATGTCTTCTAGTGGCTCTTTTCCCCCCTCCCCAACACAGCAGAGCTTTTCAAAAAATATCTTCTGTGCAATTAGGATCATGAAAGACAAAAGTCATGAACACACGTACTGGTGAAATATACTTTATTTCCTGTCAGAAAGCTAAGGCTCC